TAATGAAATGACTGCTTCTGTAAAGTGATAGAAATGAAATGCCCCGAGGAATCCCACAGGATAATTGTTCCTTCAATAATGTTTACCATCATTACCTATCTTAAATTTCAGACGCTATAGCTTCACCTCTAAAACAGCAACACAATTAATGTGATTAGAAAGGAATCATTTATAGTTACAAATTGCCTTCACCTTAGGTCGATCAAAGCACTCCACTGATGACAGCTTGTTCTGACGTGCTATGGCTCTTGCATTGCTCATTGCTATCAAACTAGGGGTTTAATCTTTACAGATTTGTTTTTCTTTTTTAAAAACTGAATTGCAAATTGAGGAGCTGTGCAAAAGTTATTTGGAATTTATTCTTTTTATACTAAACCTTTAAATTGATTATCCTTTTTTGCCAAGGTTCTCATTACAATTCCTATAAGGGTGGCAGAGCTCGTGGAAACTTGTGCAAAGAATATACAACATGGCTTAGGAAGGAGGGAAGAAAAGAGGGAAGAGGAGGTTACTAACTTAAAATCTGCTGTGAAAACTTAGATATGGATTCCAAGTCTTTTTAACAGAAAGTGACTGATTCATTTATACAGACTCTAAGAAGATGCTTTCTCAGATCTCAAAACAAAGGTATAGAGGCTGGGGCTGTTGTGTACCAGGTAAAGTCACCGCCTGCAACACCAGCATCCCATTTGGGTTCCAGTTCAAGTCCCAGCTGCTCCACTTCCAATCCAGCTCTCTGCTATGGCCTGGGAAAGCAGTAGATGATGGCCCAAGTCCTTGGGCCCCTGCCTCCACGTGGGAAACTCAGAAGAAGCCCGTGGCTCCTGGCTTCAGAATGGCACAGCTCCAACAGTTGCTGCCAATTGGGGAGTGAACCAGCATGTGGAAGACCTCTGTCTCTCTCTGCCACTCCTTCTCTCTCTGTGTAACTCTGACATTCAAATAAAAAATAATTCTTAAAAAAAAATACAGAACTTTTTCGCACAACTTAACCTTCCATGCAAACTCCCTTGGTGCACAATTGCCTGGCTGCTGTCAGCCTGACACATACTATGTTGTATCAACTACATAGAAAAGGGCTCATGGCTTTCTCTATTTTCAGTCCATTCCATAATGCTCCACCAGGGTAGCACCTAGCTCTCCAAGAGCTTAACTAAATAAACATTATACTGGAAAGCAGAGCCTAGAAAAGTTAATTTTACTCAGCACAAAGAAAAATAAGCATATAAATTTTAGTGCATTTATTCTGCCCTTCTTAGAGAGTGATTACCTTATTCTAAATGATAACCATGCTTGCTTTCCACGGCTTAAATACTTTCTTAGCAATTGGCTGCTAATTCAGCTGTATTTGGAGTTCTGAGTGAATCAAAGGGAAGTGGATCACCCTTCTGGCTATAAACACAGAGAACAACGCACTTTCTTTTTAAATTTGGCTCGGAATTCTAAAATTTCCTAGGACACGCCTAGGAAATGCCTCAGCTTCCAGCACATCTTGCCATTAAATGAGGCAAAAAAAAAAAAAAAAAAAAAAAAGTTTTTAAATGCCTTTTGGTCCTAGAGAAGTTCCCATGGCTGGGATTTTTTTTTTTTTTTTTTTTTTTTTTTTTAGATATGCCCAATTCCCCAGGTCTCAAAATCCTTCAGCTAAAAATGTTTGGGGCCAGGAGCTACTAATATTGCTTACTAACAATTTTATTTTTATATAGGTGTTTAAATTTTAAAAAAAAGTTCCAGGGGCTAGCATTGTGGAGCAGTGGGTTAATGCCCTGGCCTGAAGCGCCGGCATCCCACATGGGCGCCGGTTTGAGACTCAGCTGCTCCACTTCCAATCCAGCTCTCTGCTGTGGCCTGGGAAATCAGTAGAAAATGGCTCAAGTCCTTGGGCCCCTGCACCTGCGTGGGAGACCCAGAAGAAGCTTCTGGCTCCTGGCTTCAGATCGGTGCAGCTACAGCCGTTGCAGCCATCTGGGGAGTGAACCATCGGGTGAAAGACCTCTCTCTCTCTCTCTCTCTGTCCCTCCTCTCTCTGTGTAACTCTGACTTTCAAATAAATAAATAAGTCTTTTAAAAAACTGTTCCAAAGGTGGGGAAAAGTACTATAAACTGGGTATGGTTTAAACAGCAGAAATGTATTATCTCACAACCCTAAAACTTAGAAGGCCAATGTCAAGATGTCAACACAGTTGTTTCTTCTAAGACCTTTCTCCTTGGCTAGCAGATTGCCTCCCCTTTGTGTTTTCATGTGGTCTTCCCTTTACATACTATCTGTGTCATAATCTCCTTTTCCTGTAAAGACATCAGTCATGTTGGATTGGGGCTCAACCCTATGACTCATTTTATCTTGATTATCTCTTTAAAGGCTCTATCTCCAAATAGTCATATTCTGAAATACTGGGGGTTAGGATTTCAACATATGAATTTGGGGGATGCGCAGTTCACCTCGCACATGATCTCATTTTATAGACCAGGAACCAAAACTTCAAAAGAGAAAGTGTATTATCAAGCTCACTTAGCCATTAGGTTATGTAGCTGGGGGTGGGGGCGGGGGCAGAGATATGATTCTAAATGCCATGTTCCATCTTTTACAACCTGCCACTACTCCAGTACAAACTTGTGTCTGCTCAGCAATTCTTTATATGTAATATATCATATTATTGAATCTCCTAAAGACAGCAAACACTTTACTACCTTGGAGTCATTTGACCATCATTTATACCTATCTACCTTCAAAAGCCCAAGGGCAGGACAGAGATGCCTCAAGAATTCTCCAACAGCTTTTTTCTTTACACACAATCTTTCCTGATTCACCGGACCTTGATATTGGAGATGCGGTAAGAGAATCTGACAAAAACTTTTCTCTCCAGTGAGCCCCAAAATTTGCCTGTGGGCCAGAAGCAAATTTGCCCAAAACCAGGGTAAGAATGAATAACTAATGTTGATTTCTGCAAGACCTCAGGTGAAGCCAAGCCTGAGAGGAGACGACAAATCTAAGAGGGAAGAACTGAAAGACGCACCCATGTTGAGTCCCTGTAGAGTCTGCTCAAGAGGAAAGAATCTGCTTTCATGATTTAAAGTAGTCACGTGGTCCTTACATTTCAAACACCAAGAATAGTATTTTACTAGAAAATGAAAAACAGAAAGAATTTTGAGTCTGGCATTGTAGCACAGCTGGAGCATGCCAGTTCAGGTCTTGGCTGCTCCTTTTCTGATCCAGTTCTCCACTAAAGCAACTGGGAAGGTAGTGGAAGATGACCCGAGCACTTGGGCCCCTGCCACCCATGTGGGAGACTGGGATGGAGTTACAGGCCCCTCGCTTCAGCCTGGCTCAGCCCTGGCTGGTGCGGCTTTTTGGGGAATGATCCAGTAGATGTAAAATCTTTTTCTCTTTGTCTCTCCCTTTCTCTGTCACTCTGCCTTTCATATAATTAAAATAAATCCGCCATCACTTGCCGAACTTCCTGGATGTGACAAACTGTCTGGATGTTTTTTTTAAAAAGCAAGAGTGAATCCTTTTGGTTTTTAACCTTTTATAATTATGTTTCAAATCTCTTACATTTCAGAAATAATCATTGCTGGAATTTTATTAAATTTTTGGAACTATCTTTTTAAACTAATACCTACTGTTGGTATGACAAATGTCTGTTTTTCCTCACATATATTTTCAGGAAGTCATAAAGTTATTCACTATGTTTTAACATACAACTAGATATAAAGGAATGTGTGTTTTTTAATAAAAGTTAATAAATTATACCATGGAAATATTGCACACTTAAAAAATAAATCTTTAAAAAAGAATTTATCAAACATTTAAATATTTACCAATAGTTTCTTCTAAAAACAAATAAAGCAAAAGTGTTTTGCCATAGAATATTATGTGTTTGGTGCATGCAAAATTTTTTTCTGTGGGTTCCTACACAGAACAGGAAACCTGGGGCCTTAGTTTTCTTACCTATAAAATACGGCTGCACTAGATGATCTCTTAGGTTCTTATCACTCTAACTTTTAATGAACAAACAAAACTTTTATCTTTTTCTTTTCCAGCTTTCTCCTCACCAACTAATCAAAGATCTATTAGGTGCCAAATGCACCCACAAAGTGCTTCCCCCGTCCTGACAAGGTCAATACTGTCCTTCTACTTCACCTGACTCTCTCACATCCTCACTGTGGCAAGGGAGAAGGACCCAGTAGCGCAGGGGAATGGGTGAAGTCTGGTTAAGACAGAGCACTCATAAAATGCCCAGAGAAAGAGGTAGCTAAATCACAAACCATTCTGGGAGCTGATATCCAATTTAGGAAGGCTCCGGTAGGAGCCAGGAACAGCAAATTCTACATTTGGATCCACAAATTTATCTTTAAGAAAATAAGAACATGGCAAAGTAGGTTGGAATCAAAAAGGAAAGGAACAAGAAAGGTAATAAAGGGGATGGCTGTCTGAACGAGGAGAGCGTGGCACACATGGAACACAGGTCGTTTCCTGTGTGTTTTAAATCATATTTTATTGTTTGAGAACTGCTTGAGGTTTACGGCAAAGTTGGGAGGAAGGTACAGAGTTTTCCTATATACTCCACCCCCACCCATGCATAGCATTTTTCATTATCAACATCCCCCACTGGAGTGGAATATTGGAATAAATTACAACTAATGAGTATAATAAATCATAGTGTACACTAAATTATATTTAATGAACCTGCATTGAGACAATCACAGTCATCAAAGTCCCTAGTATACACTGGAGTTCACATTTGTCTGGGCAAGGGTAAAATGGCATGTGTCTATCATTGCAGTATCTTATACAATAGTTTCACTTCTCTGAAAGTCCTCTGTACTCTGTCTACTCATCCCAAAGCCAGGCAACTACTTGTCTATTTATTGTCTCTGTCTTTTTATGGTTTGACACTTCCTTTCTTCTGAGCCCTGTGTACTGTTCCATTATCTGATATACCACAACTTATTTACCCATTTATCTACTGAAGAACAAGTTTATTGCTTCCATGTCTTACCTTGGACACCTGTGGAAAATTGTATTTCCCTCCCACATGGGAGATCTGAATGGAGTCTTGGCTCAGTCCTGGCCATTGCAGCCATCTGGAGAGTAAATCAGCAGATGAAAGATTCTCTCTCTTTCTCTCTCTCTCTCTCTTTCTGTCACTCTGCCTGTGAAATAAATCAAATAATTCTTTTATAAAAAGTCATTAAACCATCAAAGCTACAAAGAGATATAAAAGAAATCTTGTTGCTAAGTGAAATAATTTAGCCTGAAAAGCTGTATACTATATAATTTCATTATATGAAACTCTGAGAAAGAAAAACTATGGAGAAAGGAAAAAGATTAAAGGCAGCCAGGAGTTCCGGTAAAAGGGGAGCAGGATTAATAGGTGAAGCACAGGTAATGTATAGAGCAGTGAAACTATTTTCTAATGGTGATGAGTGACATTGCACATTTGCCAAAAGCCACATAACTGGGGTTGGCATTGTGGCGCAGTGAATTAAGCCACCACCTGTGATGCCATCATCCCATATCAAAGCATCTGTTCAAATTCTGGCTGCTCTACTTCCCAACCAGCTCCCTATTAGTTTGCCTGGGAATATATCAGAGAATAGCCCAAGTACTTGAGCCTCTGCCACCTACACGAGAAACCAGGATGGAGTTCCTGTGTGTGGCTTGGACCTGAACCAGTCCTCGTAATCATTTGGGGAATGAACCGGTAGACGGAAGATCTCTGACTTTCCCCCTCTCTCTGTGTGTATCACTCTGCCTGTCAAATAAATAAATAAAAATAGATCTTTAAAAAATAACCCCAGGACTGTACAATACAGAGTGAACCTTAATGCAGGTTCTAGACTTTAGTTACTAAAAATGTATCCATAGGATTCAATTATTCTAACAAATGTACTACATTACTGTTGGATACTGTTTTAAAAAGAAAACTGGGGGCAGGGGAGAGGATAAAAGAACTTCTTGTCCAATTTGTCCAATTTTCATGTTAATCAAACTATTCTAAATAAAGTTCATTAAATTTTTTTAGGATTTATTTATTTATTTGAGAGAAAGAGTTACAGATAGAGGGAGAAACAGAGATCTTCTACCTGTTGGTTCACTACCCAAACAGCTGCAATGGCCAGAGCTGGGCTAAACTGAAGCCAGGAGCCTCCTCCAGATCTCCCATGTGCATGCAGGGGCCCATGCACCTGGACCATCTTCCACTGCTTTCCCAGGGCACCAACAGGGAGCTGGATCAGAAGCAGAGCAGCCAGGATGCTATTGCAGCCTATATGGGATGCCAGCGCTGCAGACAGAGGCTTAACTTACTACGCCACAGTGCTGGCCTCTATTAAATTTTTTTTTTTTTTTTTTTTTTTTTTTTTTTTTTTTTTTTTTTTTTTTTTTTTTTGCCGGCGCCGCGGCTCAGTAGGCTAATCCTCCGCCTAGCAGCGCCAGCACACCAAGTTCTAGTCCCAGTCGGGGCACCGGATTCTGTCCCGGTTGCCCCTCTTCCAGGCCAGCTCTCTGCTGTGGCCAGGGAGTGCAGTGGAGGATGGCCCAAGTACTTGGGCCCTGCACCCCATGGAAGACCATGAGAGGCACCTGGCTCCTGCCTTCGGATCAGCGCGGTGCGCCGGCCATGGCGGCCATTGGAGGGTGAACCAACGGCAAAGGAAGACCTTTCTCTCTGTCTCTCTCTCTCTCACTGTCCACTCTGCCTGTCAAAAGAAAAAAAAAAAAAAAAAAAGAACTACGGTTCAGAACCATGGTAAAATACCCAGTACATACTCAGAAACAGTCATTGTTTCTATAATCGCTACTAGTTAGTCTCTTTAATACAGGTGGGCTCAATAAATAGGATCATGGAATCTTGACAGCTGAAAGAGATCTTAACTAGTACAATTTTTTTCCCAGCCAATACAGTCTACCTATCCACAATCCAGCTCCATGACAGTGGTCTGATGTGTTGGCCAGCTGAGAACAGAGCTAGGGTCAGTCTGATCATTTAAAAAAAAATTTTTTTTTTTAACGTGGCAACACTGTGTGAGAAGAACTCGATTTCAGCTAATGTTCAACAATCAGCTAAATGTCTAAACACCAGCTTGAGATGCTGTTTACTATTAAAAGTAACCTCCAAAAACCACTCCTCACCCTTAAAAATGTTCATTTACCTTGGAAACTGTTTTTGCAATCACCACATGATGAATTCTGAACAAAGCGTTGACTATGTTATTGAATCAGAGTTGATTTAAACATAGATTGACCTCCCACATAGCCATCTCTCTGAGCTGCTGCTAGAACTGAAAGAAAGTAGAATAAATGATCCAAATTCCCCCATAAGAACTAACTCGCTCTCTGTCCAAATTGCCCTGATGTGAAAAAGTCAGCCGCTCCTGTGCAGAATGTGAAGTGATTTTGTCTACGATGACACATAAAAGGTGTTGCCAAGAGAATATTTTCTAAGCTTTAGAATTCTTTTTAATTCTATGGAAAGTGTCTTTCTACAGTAAGGAAAAGGCCAAATTTCTGCCTGACACAGTTCAAGATCCTTCTCTTTAGGCCATAGCATTTGGGGTTGGAGATACTATTTGTGGAACAAGGCTGAGGAAATGAGCCAAAATGAATTTCAGGCTTGCCAGAGCTTACACTCTTAATGTAAATTCAACAATTAGCAATGCCTCAGCTGTGGAAGCTGAAAAAAATCCACACATCAGATGGTGAGAGACTGGTGGAGAAAATCACTTCCATTTGACTGTTGTAAACCTGTCATCTCCTTAAGCAACTCATAAGCTTGAAAGCAGACCTGGCCTCTACCACTTGTGAACTCACTGAGATGGCTCCAGAAAGGCGCCTCCTTATTAATTCAAAATAGGAATACAAACTTGTAAAAAACTCAAGAAGGGAAAGAGTTTTAAAATATAAGAACCAGATTGCATCATCAATTTTAAAACTATGCGGGTTAACGGACATAATGGAATGCCAAGATGATCAGATTAAAATAAGATATGAACAAGACTAAGCAATTAGAATGGCAGATAATTGGCACAGCAGTAAAGATGTGACTTGGCACAGCTGCATCCCATATTGGAGAGCCTGGTTCAAGTCCCTGCTCCTCTGCTTCAGACTGCAGCTTCCTGATAAGGTACATCATGGGAGGCACCATGTGATGGCTCAAGTGCTTGGGTCTGTGCCAAACGGTTGTAAGGAGACCTGGATTGATTACTTGACTTCTGACTTCAGCCTAGACCAGCTCTGGCTGTTGCACACACCTGGGAAGTGAGCTAGCAAATGGAAGACATCTCATCTCTTCTCTCCCCTCCCCTCCCCTCCCCTTCCCTCCCCTCCCTTACCCTCCTCTCCTCTCTTCTTTCTCTCTCTTTCCTTTCCTCCCTTCCAAATAAAATGAAAAAATTTTCATTTTTTGAAAAGTTACTAAACAATTCTATCATGTCTTTGTCAGCTTGAAGTATGGAAGCTGGTATTCTGTAATAAGACAATTTTGTTTGGTTCTTTAAATGTTTAAAGAAGGCAGAAAACACACATTACATACCATGAGTCAATTAGCCCAGTTAACTTTGGGATTTCTTTGCCTCATTTGCTTGCCTTTGTCTTTTCCTACAAAGAAGAAAGACTTGAGGCCAGCAGGTTAAGCCATCACATGCAAAATGGCATCCCATATGAGTACTTGTTCATGTCCCACCCTGCACCACTTCTGATCCAGCATTCCTACTAATGCACCTAGAAAAGCAGCAGAAGATGGCCCAAACATCTGGGCTCCTGCCATCCTTGTGGATGGTATTCCAGGCTCCTGGCTTTGACTTGGCCCAGCTCTGGCCATTGTGGTTACTTCAGGTGTGAACCAATGTATGGAAGACCCCTCTCTCTCTCCCCTCTCCCTCTTTCCTCTCTCTCTGTCTCTCTCTCTGTCTCTGTAATTCTGCCTTTCAAATCAGTAAATACATCTTTAACGAGAAGAGAAAAATTTATAACTGTGGATCTGCAAATGAATATTTTCAGCAACCCTACTGGAAATAATATAATGTATATGAGAATTTAAAAGACCTGAAATCCTTTTTTAATGTTTATTTCTTTATTTTCATGTATTTGAAAGGCATAGTAACAGAGAAAGAGAGAAGGAGGGAGAGATCACCCGTCTGCTGATTTATTTCCCCAATGTCCACAAAACTTAGGGCTGGGGCTGACTGAAGCCAAGAGCTTGGAACTCCATTTGGGTCTCCCACATGGGTGGTAGGGGCCCAAGTAATTGAGCCATCATTGGCTGCCTCCCAGGATTCATTATCAGGAAGCTGGATCAGAAGTGGAGTAGGCAGGACTCAAATCATCATTCTAGTTCAAGATGTGGGCATCCCAAGCAGTAGCTTAGCCCTCTGTGCCACAACACCTGCCTGAACACCTGAAGTTTCAAGGACTTCGCCTGCTAAGTAGACTTACTTATTCTTTGTGGGATTTTCCAATTAAGAATAAAACTGTTTTTCTATTTATGTTATAATTGTTGTAAATGATGCAAGCTTCTGACCATCCTCAAAGCTAAGAACCATGTTTAATTTTAACCTCTTAATCAAATATATATCACAGCTGTGAGTAAATCCCATGACTTCTCTCAAATATTTCTCTTCATCTTTCTGCACTTCCTTCCATAAAATACTCTCATCTCCTATTAAACCAGGTTCTCCTGAATGCAAATCAAATAAGACCAGGGTTTTTATTTTAGATTTATTTATTTATTTGAAAGTCAGACTAATGGAGGCGGGGCGGTGGGGGGGGGGGGAATTGTCCATTCACTGGCTCACTCTCAAATGGCTGCAACAGTCAGGGCTTATGCAGACAGAATCCAGGAGCCCCGAATTCCAGCTGAGTCTCACCTAAGGGTGGCAGGGGCACATGCACGTGGCCCATCTTCCATTGCCTTCCCAGATGCATTAGGTGGGAGTTGGACTGGAAGCAGAGCCACCGGGGCTCAAATCTGCACTCTGACATAGGACGCCAGCACCACAGGCGGCAGTTTAACCTGCTGCAGCATAAAAGTAGTTCCAAAATCAGCATTTTCTAATGAAGATATCACTCAATTTCTCTCCATCAAACATGCATTCAGCTTATATCTTAGTGTGGATTACCAGCTCTCCCCCCAAAAGCAGAGCCTGAGAAATAA